CAAATTACATTTTGAAGGAAAGCTAATTGCACAGACAGGATTATAGTTTCTATCAACATAACAAGGAAGTGATTAGTTATTTGGCATGTTAGACAATGCTTTTTTTTTTTTTTCCCCAAAAATTATAACTGATATCAATTGAAACTGATCTTATTTTTCTGAATACATTTCTGGCTGCTCATTATCTTTTATGTAAATGGTTGGACAATTAAAACTGAAAGTGTGAACATTTTAAGAATGTAAAAATGTAAGAATTTTTTCACTTATTTTACTGGCAAACCTACTTAAGATCAAACTGGTCTGTGTACGGTTCATGAAATACATTTATTTTGCCACCTGTGGTCTACATGATTGTGTTCCTGTTTATTATAAGCATGTGAATTATTGTGTACCTTTTTTTTGTTGTTTGTTTTTACTGAACACTGATCAATGTATGTATGTTGTGCATGTGTGATTTCAGGCTGCATCTAGTGCTCTAAGCAGTCTGGGTCATGTGTACACAGCTATTGGTGACTACCCTAATGCACTTGCCAGCCATAAACAGTGCGTGCTGCTGGCACGGCAAAGTCAGTGCAAGCTTTCCGAGGCTCGCCAGCTAGGCAACATGGGTGCTGTGTACACTGCGCTGGGAGACTTCACCAATGCTGTCCAATGCCATGAGCAGCATCTGGACATTGCAAAGGTATAGTGGTAATGTAATATATTCATATTACATTACCAATATGTTTTTCTTTGGTTTTCATCTCTTAAAAGGTGCAGTTTTAATTTAAGCTCTGCATATTTTAACCATGACAAGGCGACAGTATTTCTATTTAACCTTTGGTGTTTTGAGATCTGTGCTGCTATTTTGTAAACTTTTGATATTTTTTCTTAGTCCTGCCCACATTTCCACAAAAGATTTGACTAAATCTGCACCATTTTCTGGTAAAAGGATATATTACACAAAAGTATAGCCCAGCTAAAGCTTTAGCTGATATCTTTTTAGCATTACATTTGTTTGGGATATATAAGTTGTTCCTTCACATTCTGTTAATAGATTTATTTTATTGTAACTACTTAATTAATTCACAAAAAGCACCTCTTGACTGACCACAGTGAATTTTGGAGTTTATCTCAAAAAGGTCATGCCTAAAAGATATAGTGGTTTGTTTTGACTCAGTTGAATAACCACTCTGCAGCTGCCACAAATACTCATCACAGCACCAAATTCAGATTAATCCACTGCTAGTCCCCCTGACTAACATTAACTAAAAGTTAGTGGCCAGAATTATGAATGCCTAACTCACTCACTAATACAACACTGGTTTTGATTTCTTCTTCTTCTTTCTTAGACATTCACACAACACATAGATTTACACAGTTTATATCAGGATAATGATTTCCTGAGAACCTAGCTTAAATAAACTAAAGGATCATTTTAGCAATATGTTCATCTTTAACTGTCTGGGATAGCAAAAGAAAATATAAATGTCGTGATCTCTGTGGAAATTCCATTGCATGCCAATAAATAACCACAAAGGTAATTTCTTAGTGACGGTGAAATGGTGGTTTGTTTGGCAGAGTCTGGAGAACCGACGTGAGGAGGCACGAGCGTACAGCAACCTGGGGAGCGCTTACCACTCCCAGCGGGACTTTGACAAGGCCATATCGTACCATACAAGAGTGCTGGAGTTGGCCCAAGAGCTGGTCGACAGAGCAATTGAGATGAGGGCATATGCTGGTCTGGGGCACGCTGCCCGATGCATGCAGGTTGGTATATAACTATAAAGGTGTAGTTAACTGAAAAACAAATAACTACGAAATAATGAATCACAGTCTGATAAAAATGCACTATTTTTGTTCGGTTCAGGACTTGGAGAGGGCTCGTCAGCACCACCAAAACCAGCTAGAAATTGCTCAGGAACTGCAAGACAGAGCAGCACAGGGCAGAGCCTCATCCAACTTGGGTAGGTTTGATGGAGGGTCATAGAGGGGTCACCTGGCTGGAGGTAATAGGTTTTTTAATTTGGCGTCTGAATCTGGGATTTTGTTGTGGGAAACTAAAATGGTATGCCTTTTTTAGCTTTGGTCATTTTAAATGGCAAATCTATCTTTTACTAACAGTAAAATCAAAGTATGGCAGGTTTGACACACTGTGGTACTCCAGAACCTGTTGACAGCTACTGTGTAACAAAATTAATAAAAAAGTAAACCGTTATTTACTTTAGGTCTTGAGTGGTTCACTCTCTGTGCCATCAATAGCACAATACTACTCTCACTTGGATGTGCACCTGTGTATCCTATGCAGCTGCAAACATTTGATCAACTAAAACAGACATGTACACCTTTGGTTCCTGTCAACATTTTTTTCAAATAATAAGACTGCATCAATGCCATTCTTCCCCTTTTGGCAAACAACAGATTCAGCAGAGCTAATTTTCAGCTGCAGTCCATAGCAGGTAGGTGGCATATCAAATGAATCAACAAAACCAAACAGATATATGTGGGCATAACTGAAAGACAGAAAGACATGTAAAATAAAACACATACCATACAAGACAAAGAGTGGGCTTACAGTACAGACAAAAAATTAAATAGACGGAAATTTGAAATTGGCCAAAGGCTGGACCAGAGTGCAAAATATAACAGTGTGCTGGTGCACCACAAAAGGAAGTTAGATATTTTATTTACTTTTTTAATAGTAATAGTTCACAGGCATAATTCTCAACAGCATCCATCCATCCATTCGCTTCCACTTATCCTTTTCAGGGTTGCGGGGGGTGCTGGAGCCTATCCCAGCTGTCATAGGAGGAGAGGCGGGGTACACCCTTGACAGGTCGCCAGTCTGTCGCAGGGCTAAACAACAGCAATGAAATTAACAACGATAAGATGAAATAGACAAATGTGGGAAATGTAATCAATTTGCACTGTTACCCTAGAACAGGGGTCTGCAACCTTTAAGACCCAAAGAGCCATTTGGACCCGGTTTCCACGCAAAAGAAAACACTGGGAGCCACAAATACTTTCTGACATCTAAAATTAAGATAACACTGTATATATTGTTTTTTTTTACCTTTATACTTTGTATAAACAACTAAGGTGTGTTGCTTATGAAATCCATGAAGTGCTGCAGAGAAAATCACATTTTATTTATGTAATTAACACATTTTGAACTCTTAAAGAAATATAACAAAAGGAAAGACACCCAGCTGAACTAAAATGATCTATGTAGCAAACAAAAACTGTTGTGAGCCGCCACCCTTATATCGCCTTTGGGCTTTTGGAGCCTTGACCTGACTTTTAAAAACTAATTGGAAAAAAGCACTATGCTGCTAAAAAATGAAAAATAGATATTTACAAAATTCTGCCTAAATATGTACTTTACCTGGTTAATGTGTGTGGCGGGGCGTGGTCTGCAGCGCCGCTGCAGGGGAGGCGGACCCACCTGAGGGGCACCCGCAATCACGCCTCGCCGCCTTAACGTCTGTGCTATTTATGCTGTTGTGTTGTTGTTGGTATGTGTCGGGCTGTGAGCTGAAAAGCTGCAGCCGGCTGTATGTGTACAGCAACCGTGTGTGAAAAGTGGTCTATAAAGAGATGCTGAAAAGCATGTTCATGGAAACATCGTCGGGTCTGCCGTGATATGTTTACAATGGGACTTCTGCTCCTGAACCTCTGCGCACAGCGTCTGCAAATCGGGGCTGTACGAAGTCACTTTCATCTTTACGCAGGACTGTAAGCTGTCATCTGTGAGGCGTGAGCGGTGTTTGTTTTTAACATAGTTCACGGTGGAGCTGCTAACATAATGTGGATCCGAAGATCCATAATTGGCCTCGGTTGAAAGTCTCAATAAATGCACGGCGTTTCGGCGGGTACACCGGCTTCCGCGAGTGTGGTGCTTATTTTGAGCGATGAAAAAATAATAGAATATAATTTTATTTTTATATTTCAATATTACAATAATCTTCCAATTTAGAACTACAAGTTAAAAAAGAACTAACATAAATAAAATACACTTCAGCTAAATACTTCTAATTTATTTTCCTAAACCATGCAGAGCCGCACTATAAGGACTAAAGAGCCGCATGTGGCTCCGGAGCCGCAGGTTGCCGACCCCTGCCCTAGAAGGTACATAGACGACAAGAGGGACGGTGTAAAATTGCTACTTCTATGCTTTGTACCTTAGAAAGAAAAGAAAAAAAAACGGAGGGCCACTGCCTCAGATGAACAAAAGAAGAAAAGGCTTTTGAAATTCTACAGTATGCCTTTAAATCACTAGTTCATATTCAGTTCATTCCATGATCTGGCATTATAGTCAACAGCAAGCGAGACACTGACGTGAGAGTGCTAAAAGTTTATTCACAAAGTATACACTCATTCAGGAAAGAATGATTGAATGAAAGATGATGGCTCTGGGATGGGATGGGTACCTCCCGTTTCCAAGATTGGTGGGGGTACTGGGAATGGGGGGCTCGGGTGGGTGCCTCCTGGAACTGGTCGTCATGTGCCATCGGGGGTGTGCTGTGGTGCCTGGGTCTTTGCTGGCTGGTGTCCCTTTTGGGCTTCGGGTCTGTTCACTTCCCTGTGCTGTGGCCCTTCTCTCTGGGTGCCCCTGACGCATCTATGGGTCTGCTTGGTTTTTTCCCACACTTCATGCTGGTGTTTTGGCTTCTTGGCCTTTGCTATTGATTGCGACCACCTGGGTTTTCTAGGTGCATGTGGGTTCTCTCTTTGTTTGGATATTTGAACTCTGGTAATTCGGGTGATTTCGATGAGAGATGAGGTGTCCTCACAGGACAGTTTACCTCATTGTCTGGTCTTATCTGTGCTTGTGTTTTCATCCTTGATTAAATGTTTGGTTTTATGTGACATCATCCTCAAATCTGAAAGTCTTCACAGGCCCTCAGTTTGGTATGAAAAACCCTTCAAGTGATATAAAAAAATACAAAACTGTATCCTGTGTTTTATTCAGAAGATATTTAAGAAGGTTGATCCCTGGGAGAGACTGACTGGGCTCTTGTCCTGGGCTAGGACAACTCGGTCTACATCGATCTGTAACATTAAGTACACACAAAGCACTATTTGTTTGTTATATTGCAGACCTGTGTGAGTTTGCACTAGCTGTAGTGGCCTAGTACAACACGTAGATGCTGCAGTTTTGACATCTTGTTAAATCAAATTCAAGGATGGGAGCTTTATATCATGCGATGGTCCTGCTTCTTAAGGGCCTATCATTTGACTGCAGTAGCGTCTCTCTGGACAATCAACACTCATGTTTTATTAAGTGGTTTCTGGTTTCTGCGGCCACAGTGATATCTGAGATGCTGTGAACCTGAATCCATCGCTGAATGGACAACTTGCCACGTTGTGCATGTATACGGCACTGTGCACTAAAAGTAAAGTGAGGATGCCATCTTAGATTTCTGGGGATTTAGACTGTCTCAATGTTTTTTATTTTTTGTTGATTTTTTTTTTTTTTATTGTTTTGCAACTTAAAATAAAAGGGAAGCTAGAATTCTTCTTTCTGGTGTTCTGAACTGCAGCGCCCTTCTTCAATTCCTAAATTTGTTCAAAGAATGGAAATACAGTGATGGCAAAAAGAACAGACGCCATTTGACAATTTAAAGTTTTTGCATGGACACAAAAAATGTATTTGCTCATTACTAGGGCCATATTCCAGGAAAAAGAGTTGACAGTGGGAAATTTACACCATAGCTACACTCCAACTGCAAACCCAGCTGAAAACCCTACGACGTAACCTGATGTGCACCTCCCTAGAAATATAACTACACCTCTCATTAAAATCGCCTGCAAAAATTGTGATTTCCAGCTACTTTTTTGCCATGGATTTTTTTTAAGGTATCAGTGACAGAATAAAAATCATCTTCTGAGTTCAAGGAATAATAATCATAGCATCATAGCAGTGTTCACAAATGTCAGGAAGTTAAATGCAAAACAGTTACTATCACTATCAACGTTAACTCAATAAGAAAAAAATCTCTTCTATGGTGAGAGAGCCATGAGTGAAGACGGATATTAGAACAAATTATAGGCTAAATGGTTACACTGAGGGGCATTAAAGAACAGTTTTTATGTAAATCTCAAAAATGAGCACATTAAGCGTTCACTGAACAGTTTATGCCAACATAAAGTGTTCCAAAAGTAGTTTTATTTTATTTAATAAATGGTGGAAAATAAATTAACCCTCTGCAAATACCTCCTCTGATCAGACTTTGAAATGCCAAAAAAACTGCAGTCCTACATGAAGCTGGTTCCAAAAAGCAAATCACTCCCATGTTAAAATGCCAAACTTCACAATATTAACAAACACTATGATCTCTTCCAAATATGAGACCTTCTGGCTCCAAAAACCAACATGGCAGCAGGAAAAGAAATGAGGCCTTATAACGTAAAGCCCAGAAATCAGAGGATAACTATATAATGGCTTTATCTATCTTTTATATACAGTCTATTAAACTCTGCTCAGGTAATATTGTGCGATTTCCACCACTCTTCTCACTTTATGTCACTGCAGAGCTTTTTTGTAGGCAAATGAGTGAAAATTGCTTTATTTCCTATCTGAAGTAAGTAAAAGGAAAACATGCACGCTGCACTGGTTCAATAGATACTTTGATGTGTGACTATAGGCTACTGCTGAAGTCGCTGACACTCTCCTGACAGATGAGCTTCAGTCTGTGTTTCAGATCAATGATTCACATCATCATTTATGGATGATTACGGTTCTTTGACTCTGAATGCTGACTTGACAACCTTTCACTCTGCTCTCCTCTGATATTTTCTCTCCTCCTTTCCTCTTCTTCTGTTCTTCAATTTCCAACCCTAATTTCTTCCTCTCATTTCATCTTTTGTTTCATAATGATTTCGTCCCCTATTATCTTTTACCTTATTTTGTCTTTACACTCACTACATTTCCCATGTTTTCATTACTTCATTCTTCCTCTTTCTT